AAAAAAAAAAAAAAAAAAATATCACTCACCACATCTCATGGCTGTTTTAGGTTCGTTTTGTATTACTTTGTTGACCTATGTACGGGAATAACCAGCTTTATTGCATTTTTTTTGTTTCTGATGCCGAGGAGATTGTATTAATGCAATCTCAGTCGACAAATATGTTCGACTCCGACTTTTAGTGTGATTATTATTATATTATTATTAATTATTTCGTTTATGTATTGGGCTTTGTTGTATTGTGATTATTATATTTGGACTTTTATGTTTGGTTAGGAATTAGTAATGCTACAAAAAAACTCTTACATTCCAACGGAAATTTTTTGTTGGAATTCTTTATATTTTTCGTTGGAATAGCTATTCCAACGGATATTCCTACGTATAAAAATTCGTGGAGTAAACGGCCGTTGGAATAGCTAAAATCCAACGGAAAATCCTATAGAAATAAATTTCTACAACTATTCTAATAGAAAAAATCCGTTGGAAGTCCTCAACCATCACTACAAGAAAACACTTCAATTCCAACGAAAAATTCCAACGGAAAAATTTCCGTTGGAAATTCCAATGAATATTCCAACAAAATTAATTTTATGTTGGAAAAAGTGTTGGATGGTTGAGGAATTCCAACGGATTTTTTCCGTTGGAATAGCTGTAGGAATTTATTTTCATAGAATTTTCCGTTGGATTTTAGCTATTCCAACGGCCATTCTTCCTACGAATTTTTATACGTAGGAATATCCGTTGGAATATTTATTCCAACGGATATATAAAGAATTCCAACGGAAAATTTCCGTTGGAATGTAAGAGGTTTTTTTGTAGTGCATCCAACAATTATTCCAACATAAAATTAAGTTTGTTGGAATATTCATTGGAATTTCCAACAGAAATTTCTGTCGTTGGAATATTTCTTTAGAATTGAAGTGTTTTCTTGTAGTGGATCTAACGGTTACAAACTCTGACAATGATTCTATAACGGGAAGAATCTCCCTTTGTATTGATAAAACAGATGAAATTATTTTTTTACTTCAATGATACAAAAGTATTGACAGTTTACATGTGTATTATTATTTTTACTTTTTTCTTTTATAATACGATGTTCGGATAAAATTATACGAAAACCATTCATAAACAACTTATAAATAAAGTAAATATATAGAAAAAGTAAACCATAAATTAATCATTTATAAATAATAAACTGCCACATTTTCAATAAGAAAAATGTAAATTAGATTTGGAGGTGAGAGGTGTAATTTTTTCAAAGTTGGATGGTTTGAACTCTTGGGTTTAGGCCAGTTTTATGTTCATATTACATGGGTCTACCAAAGGTTTACAAAAAATAAAGGCCCAACTTTTAATTTGCAAATCACCTTGCTAATTTTATTTTACCAACATTTCTAAAAAAAAAAA